AAAACAAATGCATCGAAAATTAAAATAAATATTAATCAAGTACCCAGTGGCGACCAGGCTTAATATTCTAGTTATTAGGGAATAATTCATAAAATGGATTTTTTAACCGAATGCTTTATAAAAGCTATTTACACAAAAGTTAAATTAAATATATTTCAATTATCACGTATTAAATTGTTTAGAAGTACCTAATAGTTCATTTTATTTATAAATCAAGTTAAAATACTTAAATCTGTTATCCACAAATTTAAAGTCTTTACCTATGCAAATATTAGGTTCATATAAATTTGAATAAAATATTTTTAAGAGGTCGTCATACCCGCATGTGTTCTCTCCGTCTAATACACGTACGATCTTATTATTAACTATTACACAGGTTATATACGGTATACAATTAAAATCCCTTTCTAAAAAGATATGCAAATCCTAAATTTCATACAAAACGTAGTCTTTATAACTCAACACTTTTTTATTAATAAAAATTAGATTGGAGGAATTAAAATAAAAATAAAAATTAATAACTAATATTTGATAATCTATAAAGACGACGTCGATTAAAAGGAGAAACAGAACAGCTTTTAAGTTATTTGATATAATATATAATATAAAATATAATGTATATATAAGTATAAAATGCATTTATTATTTTATGCAGTAAATTAAAAAGTTATTATAACACGGCGATACATATAGGCAATTTTTCGACAGGACCGTCGAGATTCCGCTTTTTCAGTATCATAATATTTTGTAATAGGTACATAATTCAGGGACTGGAACATTATGAATTTGCCGGTGTCGGTTCTGGTCCTGGCTCTCCAAAAATAAAATAACAGTTCCGGTTTGGTTCTGGTTTTTTGATAAAAAAAAAATAAAAAAATAAAGGTATCGGTTCCAAATAATTTAGGTACCGAATTGTATAATAATTTGGAATCAGGTAATCCGGAATGCTGGTTTCATTAATAGTATGAGAAATATTATAAAACTCATTATATGATAATACATGGTTTATACACAAAACAGTAATACCATTAAACTATGTGATAAATAAAATTATTATATTTTTGAACCAAAAAGAACCTATTTTATTTAAAAATTCCTGTTCGGTTCCGTCTTTGGTTCTTAATACTTTAAACTTTAAAGGTTCCGGACCGGTTCTTTTAGGTTGGGTTACCGTCCCAGGTACATTTACCATTATACTAAGCGTAGGTGAGGTATCTATAGTTCCGTGAAAAAAGAAACCGTTGAAAAAGTGTCTGATAATCATAGGCGTAGGGTGATCAAATATATCGGGGGGGGGGGGGGGGGGGCTGCAAAAATAATAATACTTAATAAGAAAAAAAAAACACTAAACTAAATGAAAATAAGACATTTATTTGTTTTCAACTATAATTCCAAGCGTCTATTAGTTTTTGAATAGATATTTAATATATCATTAGAATCAATATTATTTGAAATATCTCTTTCAATATTTAGTATTGCCAGTGAGGAAAAACGGTCTTGAGTCATAGTTGACCGTATATATGTATTGATACGTCTCATTGTCGAAAATGACCTCTCACATGATGCTGAAGAAATTGGTAAGGTCAGAGCTAAATTTAAAAGTTTATATACATTAGGAAAAGTTGAAATAGTTATATTTTTTTTGAATAAATTTATTTGATTTTTTTGTTCAGGTCCCGGTTCAGGTTTATTATTATAGTTTTGAATACAGTTTTTGGCAACCATCATTTCAGCTTGAAGTGAATTCAAATCAACTTTCAGTAAATCCTATATTAATTAGAACACATTATTAATACAACTTTAAGTAATAAGACAGTTAGTTAGTACTTTCATGCTTCAGTTATGGGTTACATTAGTTTTATAAGTTTTCACTTAAGTTGATTTATTTATTTCTGGGGGGGCTAATATTCGCACTGGGGGGCTAAGCCTCCCCAAGCCCCCCTAGATACGCCTATGCTGATAATAAGACTGCAGTTTTCAGTTTCCGGGACGATTTGCTAACACAATATTTTATATTTTTACAATAATAATAATATGACGTGTATTTATTATTTTTGCAAACAATATTTATATCTCTATTTATTTTTTTTCATATTTGATTTTCGTGAGTGAGTATATAAATATTTTTTTTAAATATAATCGATGTATCAAAAAACTATCGATACCTGGTGTTAGTGTCGATAAGCGACCGTGGTGCCACCGGATCAACGATTTCACGGTCTGTTGACTTTTGGGCATTTTCCTCACTCCCTACCTAATAGTTATCCCACACATTAATTAAATCACGTAATATGTTCAATCAAAGATACACACACACACACACACACACAACGCATTAGATTCATACAAGTAATCTGCGTTTCTGAATAATTATTATAGACTATTTAAATATTATTATATTTTATATTATCATTTTATAAATTGTATCCGTCTATCTGTGTTTGGTGTGTATAAATAATAATTATTTTTAGTGTTTTAGCTATTATTACGTCTTTTATATTATACCCGTTGGGTTTCGTTCTTGTACTGAATGCTACAATATTGGCATATTCTCTATGATATTTATCGTGTTTCGGTTATACATTTTTTTAATATTATTAACATTTTAAATTACTAATCACGCCTTCTTTGTTAATTTGTATTTGTATTTTATTTATATTATTTTGTCAACAATACATTATTTAACTACCAAATTTACTATCCGAGTTACCTTTTAGTCATTAGTTTTAATCGTACACCCACTCACTAACACTCGCAGGATTTGCTCGGTGAACCTATCCACTTTATGTTGAGTGCTTTACACATAAATACACGTTTTGGTCGGTCGGTGGTAGGGTAAATTGCAGTACAATAATTATCAGGAGTCCCGGGCCTGCGGGTTATTATTTTACCAGCACAGATAAGATAAAAATATAATATTTGATCTCTACCTATTGTGATATTATATTTCGGTGATGGCATACACTTTTGGCTTCGTTATTGACATCGTAGGTACCTCAGGACTATGTAAAAAATGTACAAAACCTGAATGTGTATCAGTGGCGTCATTTGGGGGGGGGCAAGGTGGGCATTTGCCCCTGTCTGATTTTAAAAGCGGCCCGAAGGGCCGGTGACCAGTTTTTTCCGTTTTACCATTATTATTTTTTATCAGCGCAAAAACATGTCTATTTTATATTATAATATTTTCAGAAAATATTATACTACCTATGTACTCAGAAATTATTGTCACAATGATACATTTTTTCTAATAATTGATAGTTGGAATATATTTATATTTAGACGTATGCGGGGACGTACACATTGTATGTAGGTATGTTTGTTTGTGTGAGTGTATAACAATAATAATAATGAGTATCGTAATCCCGTATAGTTTTATTTCTAAAATCTAAAATTAATACAAATTCTAAAAACAACAACCGATTGGCACTCTTATTAATTATCATTGTACATTGATACCAGACTTCATACGCAGTTAACTTACGAGTTGCGACAGTCGTGTATGGTAAACTATTCAACTATTCTGCGTATTGTGTTTTGTAGCCAGGGCCGGGTTGGACAAATTCGGCCCACCGAGTTTTCCGTACTTTACCAACCCACTTAAAAACTGGCGGCCCTTGGGTACGCTCTTATTCCGTGCACAGTTATTTTATTTTATAGTCTCCATTTCTTCAACTTTCAACTCTTAACATATTTTTAGTCAATGCGGCCCCTCATGACTTGAACGGCCCAAAATTGTCACGGCCCGCTGAGTTTTACATCGGTAACTCGCCCGGCCAATCTGGCCCTGTAGTGTACCTTATCCTAACTAAATTAAAATTTATTTTTTCGTGACGCGTGTTTACATTAATCTTTCAATTTGAGCAAAATATGACTTAAAAAAAAGTAAATGGGTGGTGCGGTTAAAAATATAAAATTATAATTTAAAATAATATTAATTTGAAAATATATCGTAGACATATAGAGTATAGGTGATAACCACTGATAAGTGATGAATCAGGTAAAATTGATTTATAGATAATGCAGTTGATATATTTTCATAAAATAAAAAAAAAAGAAGATATCCTTTAATAAGCTACTAATATTTTTGTTTATCAATAAATATTGCTATATCATGTTTGTAGACTTTTAAGTTATAATTGATGTAGGTGTACAATTGTTTTTTATAAAATATCTGGCACCTTCTATTTAAAAATGATATTACCTAGTTAATAAAAAGGGTTGCATAAAAAAATGTAGATAATATAACGAGCGAAGGGGTGCATTACGATTGCGTATGATACGATTCCGTATGGACCTTTTTCATTATTACGATTGCGTACATTCTACCTACCAATAATTAGTGCAACGTTGCCGTTGTTCAAAATCGTGAACATTTATAATATAACTTATTTTAGGAAACGATTGCTTATATTTGATACAATTTCATAAACGTTACCGAGACTATTATTTCCAGGCCAATAGGTACTTTTTGGTAATCTATAAAATACTATGAGATAAGATTAAATGCCGATTATTATATTGGATTTCCTGGCACGTGTCTCACTATAACATCGTTATATTAGTATGCGACCAACTTGTCATTCGATAAGTCACTGGTTTTTGTTTTAGTATTAGTAAGTAATAGTGCGGTAACTATGGAGAATTCTATAAAAATTATAATGTCAGAACGTGGGAAAGAGTTAGTTGTGGTTTCTTCACATAAATATCGTTTTATAAGAAAACGCAAAGACGAATTATTAAAATGGATATGTTATAACAAAAGTTGTTATGCCAGTATTTTAACTGATGTCAAAAAAACTCAAGTTATTAAGGTAATCGGTGAACACAAACATGAAGCAATAACATCTCAAAATATTGACCGCCAAGTTCTCAGAGAAAATTGCAAACGAAAAGCCAGCGATTCAATTTCAACTCGACCAAGTAAAATTATACGAAAAGAATTACTGACAAATGTAGGTACAGATATTGTACATAAGGATATTTCTTCTGTCCGAAAAGCCATGTATATGGCAAGACGGAAAAACGTTCCTATATATCCAAAATCTTTTGATGAAGCCATAGATAAAATTTGGGAAATGCAAAACGATGATATTTTTAAATTTAATAATAAAAAATTTATCCACATTCCGATGAATAAATCGTTTATTTGTATCACGACTGAAGATAATTTGAATTTTATGAGTTCTTGCACAGAATATTTTTCAGATGGCACATTTCAATTCGCACCTAATTTTTTTATGCAAATGTATACTGTCCATTGTTTCAAAAATGGCTTTTATTTACCAGTTATTTTTATTTTTTTGAAAGATAAATTTAAGCAAACATATATCGAAATGTGGAAATTTATTAAAGAACTATATTTGCAACACACATCTCAAACACTAAATTTATGCAAATTACACATCGACTTTGAAATAGGAGCACACGAAGCTGTGAGGGAAGTTTTTCCGAATGTACAACTTATTGGATGTCGTTTCCATTTAAGTCAATCTTGGTGGCGTTATGTAAGTATTTAATAAATAACTAACTCACATCGGTTAAATAAAATACTTTCATAGTAACAATTTTTATATAGATAAATGCAAATAAAAAATTGAGGACAGCATACTCGGATGATAAAAGTTTATTAGGAAAATGGTTAAAAATGTTTTTTGGTCTACCATTTCTGCCTTATCAAATAGTCGAAGACGGTTTTGTTGAATTAGTAGGTGATTGTCCGGATGAAGATGGCCTAGAATTTTCGGACTATGTGTCCAACTAATATATGGGCTGAAGAACCTTCAATAAATAAAAGGTATCATATTTTTATAAATTATAAGAAAAATTTGGATTAAAATATTTGGATTAATTATTAATTCCGTAATTTTTACGTGTTTTAATGTCAGAACAACAAATGGTCCAGAGAGTTTCCACAGAACTTTTAACGCACAATTCTATAGCTCACATCCACCAATATACTTTGTGCTTGAGGCATTGAAAGAAATGCAGGCTGAAACCAATATAAAAATATCCACTATACAAAAAAATATATCCAAAGCTATTCCATCTAAAGATATGCAAAAAATGAACCATGTTATAAAACTATACGACCAATTTAAAATAGATGGTAATATATTAATTTTTTTATCAGGGACTGGTTATCGATACCAAGGTTTTAATTTATAACTTATAATTTGTATTTTGTATAATTTAAGTTTTTAGTTGACTATAAAAATGGTTTTTTAAATTATATTATTATTATTATTTTAAATTAAATTAATTTTTTTATCAGGAACTGGTTATTGATACCAACGTTTTAATTTATAGCTTATGTGTATTATTTTTATATTTTATATTGTTTTTAATTGACTATAATATTATAATTATGATTTTTTTAAATTATATTATTATTATTATTAATTCAATTTAATTTAATAGTACATGTTGGCAACGTTGCACTCATTTTCGTACGCAATCGTAATGTTTTTAAGGCCTAAGTAGAGAAATCGTACGCAATCGTAAAAACGTACGCAATCGTTTTACTAAAAGGGACAATCGTACGCAATCGTATATCACCGGAGCGAAGCGAGCGGTTTTTTTTTTACCTATTCTGGCCGGTCAAAACCTTTGCCCCCCTCTATTGAAAACTGAAATGACGCCACTGAATTGTGTATTCAAATTTTATATTTCAGATATCACGAAGCTGTGCGTTGTAAGACTTGCACTGCGAAACGATTTGAGTCATAATAATATATTATTAGAGCCTTTGAAAACCCGCTTAAGACTACATCTATTCCAAGTTTAATTTTACACAAGACCGTATACGTAATATACGTCTTCATATTGTATCTGTGCATCAATCACGTGTTTTCCGATCGCCCACCGGTACACATCGTCGTCTGTGTTGGATCACAACGACTCTGTGACGCCGCGGTATGAAAATATTTTGTAATCGAAATTTGAATATTGAAAAAAATAATGTCTAACAATTACTGCAGAACGCCCGCGATAAATTAGTATAGCGCGCCGGCCCCTTAAAAATGTATAATCAGAATTCATTTCGGACTTGGGGTGCAGAAAAGAGGTGTAAATATATACGGGTTACCGCCAATGATGATAATTAGGTATTGTTAAAAATGACTAGTCTATGTTAACTGTTTTACATAGGCATTGATATTATTGGCTAGTCATTTTAGAGGATACCTAACTAAGATAGTCAATATTAAAATAGTCAATTTTAATTTTAGATATAATATATTATATTTACTATTTAAGAATAAACAATGAAAAAAAAATATAAGAATGCTATTTCTTCAGCACGTTTTGATTTTAAAGGTCTAAGTAGAACGAATTTTGTTAAATGGTCTTGATAGTTCATGATAAATTTAAATTCATTATAACTTTGACTTTGCATATCGATAAGGTCAACTTGGGCTCGTGAATTATATATATTATATTAATAACAATTCAACACTTTTCGAAACGATAAACTATACGAAACTATAAACTATAATATTATACGAAAGTACAACGTAGACTGTAACAATACTTATGTTAGGTTAGTTGCCTTGAGTATTAAAACTATAAAAGATACCTATTATTATTCGTTATAAAACAGATACCTAATCTTAACGTGGGTTTTTAAAGTTAAAACGATAAAAGATAACATTGACTACACGACGATAGGATATGTTATAAGTGTTATAACTTATAATAACTAGTGAATTTATCAAATTATAACATCGTCTGATTTATCAAGTCAATGTTATAAATATATGTTGATTATAGATAATGACCAAGTTACCCAGGCATTATATTAATTGGCTAGTCAATATCATCATTACCTAAATTTACGACATTGACGGTAACATATACATCCCATACAAACGGGGAAACGGACGTTCCGGTAGGGTTAATGTGGTTGAGTGCCACGCCAAAACGCCATAAATAAGTCGCTGAGACTTTGCTGTGTGTCTATGTATATATGTGTATATATACACGGCCATCGCCTCTTCCTTTAGGCCATCCGAAACGTGTTAATTTTGGTATAATAATATTATATAGGTATGTATAATACATAATAATATATACATATTATATGGAATTGAGTCACAACGATGCCGCGGCTTATCCGAAGCGGAGCGATTGTTCAGGGCAGTCAACGCACCACGACACCGACACAATGTTATAATTATAATGATAGTAATTATTATCACAAAACGATAATGATTATAATAACGATACCTAACAATGATAATAATATTATTATTATTGCGTTGAGCGCATTCGGATCGGTAGGTCGTAGGTGTACGGCGGCGATGTTTTGAAGAAGTATTGAGTTATCATATTATACATGATATATTATATTGTATAATATTGTATCATATATTATATACATTTTAATAAAAATGTGTGAAAAAGCTTTAAAATTTATCACAAGGTTCCTTAGAATTTGTTAAAATAGCAGTTTATAAATAATAAAGAACTATAATCACATTTTTTTTTAAAAGTATTTGAGTTCATATTTTGACAACATTTATCAAAATCTTGAAAATTTTCTATTTGATTGTACTTAGTTAAAAAATTATAAAATGTTTAAATTTTATAGCTGTAAGGATACAAAATTAAAAAAAAAATTCTCATTAATAGTTCATAAAAACCTAACCTAACCAAAAAATATAAAAACTAAAACTCAGTTATTTATTTTTTAGAAGAAATTACATTTTAAAACCGAAAATAACGATTTTAGTTATTTTATTGTAATTTAAAAATGTTATTTGTGGGTAGATGACACTTATAGAGTATATAATTATATTTCATACAAATAATAATATTTTCATAGCAATTTCGTTGTAAAATTAATTTAACCTAGTTACTGTTGTACTAATTTCCTAATAGTAAAACAAATTACTTTATCCAAAATAATATTAGGTATCATCAAATATACCTACTTAGTAATATTTCATAGGCTGACTCATAGGTCTTCACTCAGAATCGTTTTTTGTAGGTATACAATAATTGTATATCCTATAATTCAAATTTAACACCATCTATCATGTAAACAGCTACTGCCTACTGAACAGCAGAGTGGCACCCACTTAAACGCTTTTTTCTTGTATTTTTAGGTGTGTTATTGGGTTAGCGGGTGGGTAGTTAAATTCAAAATTTGATACACCTTTATTTTGTTTGATAGCAGCCACTGGTGTTAATATATGGTGCCATCTGTTTACAGCAGCTTTGTGCGTATAAATTGTACAGTATTTTGTATATTTTAGTATTTCGTTCTTTCGTCCCGTTCAATTATTTCGTTTACTGCGACGAGTTATAAAAACAAAACTAATAATGTCGAACAGTCGAACAATATATAAACGGGTGTGCACTGAGTCGAGTGTGTTTAAATTTACTGATGAAATTTTGATACCGTTATTGTAAGGGCCGGGAGCATATAAAGTAATACGCGCGCCCGAACTCCAACGCCTATCAACAATACCACTAACACCTAGAACTTAGAAGGGAGAAATTATACGAAAATAGCTGGGTGTGTGGTGGTGTAGTAGTTCAAACAGCAGTGGTCGGGGTCGCCGGGCAATTACTGTAGAACTACGTGATGCTTGTTTTGTAATATGTGTATTTGTGTCTAAATGTGTATCAAGGTAGTGTGTGTGCTTAAAAATAATAGTAACTAATAAAAAAGATGGTAACACGGATTTAGGTAAACATAGGTTGCTGTATAATATATAAATAATTCAAAATAATACACAAAATAAAATATAACTCACAGCAAGGTATAAATAATCTAAAAATAATATATGGCCCTTCTGGCCCAACAGAGTATAAGATAGGCTGCTACGTGAGCGCGTATAAACAATTAATATAGATATAATACAGGCCCCTTGAGCCTTTCTGGCTCAACAGAATAATAAAATATTTGACAACCTTGGCCTACTAATAAATTTGTATAATACAATAAATAACAATAAAAAAACTCACAATTTGGTGGAGCACAGTCTGGCCAGCTGGTCCTAGCTATATAATAGGAAAAATTTACACACTCACACAGAAAACTAATGAAAAATTAAAATATATATAATAAAATAAGTGGCGATTGCACAGTAATGTAATAAATAAATACAATAAGTGGCGATTAGCGACCACCGAAGAAAAATACAATAAATGGCGATTAGCTCTCGCACAATATGATTGAAACGGCGATTCGCGCACGTAAAAAGTATAATAGATTTGGCGATTCGCGCCGACCGAAACAATATAATAAACAATATAATCGCAGCGATTTGCGCCGACAGAAAAAATATAGTATAAACTAAAAAACTTATATTATTATAAAAATACGGCGATTAGCGCCTCACAAAAAATATTATAATATGTTGAATTACAAACGGCGATTAGCGCACGTTTAAATAGGTACCATTTACTTCAGTAGTACGGAACGGACTGGTTGCCTGGGCGGCCGTGTTAAAAAAAATAATACTTCGCGCAGACGGTATGGCGGCAGCGACGATCAACTTAATCTATACTCTATACATTACATAATTCACAAGACACGGTAATTAATACAAAAATAAAACAATACAAAGATAACAATTATAAGTGACTGTGCGTGTGTGAGTGTGTCCAGCTATTATTCTAATTTACATATATATTGTTGCGCTGCAACAGTTATACTTGATATTTTTGTAAAAATATTCGATTGACGCGCAATTGATTTGCGAACAATCGGAAAACTGTTGCAGACGAAAATGATTAAGCCGAGTGTTCGTCACACTATGGGTATAATGATATAGCATAATATTATAATACACGTAGATTAAAATAGATTGTTAAAAATAAAAATGTGCCACAACTGAAGTATTATAATAATTCTGATGGAATAAAAATCGCGGTGCCGGAGACGATAACTGATTTTCGTCAATAAATCAAAATGGGAATCACTATTTTATAATATGACACGTCACGCACTCGGTAATATTGACAGCAGAGGTATCTGCTCTCTCTCCGTTTCGCATTCTCTGAGTACCCCCTTCTACTCTCTGATTTTATCCTTTATATTCCATTAAACAGGATATATTATGGTGATAAATAAATATATATAAGCAATATCCGGGCGAAGGGGTGGAGCTGTGGTGTGGTAGTGGTGGTGGGGAAAGGGGTAAAACACTGCAAGACGT